TCTGTACTGTCTATGTTTCTGCGAATATCCAGATCATAATATGTAGTCAGTTTTCTTATTAGATATTTTTGTCAATTTTCCTTTCCCTCCAAGCTTGTGTGTTTTTCTTACGTTTCAGAGTCGAGAGACCTTTTTTAACGAATTAGCAAAGAAAACGATTCAAGGAAAGTAGCTATTATTCCGGACATACTTGGAATTTCGCTTTAATATTTTAGTATCACATTCTTAACCCTTTTGCCTTTAGATAACAGTGTACTAACAGACATAGAAGACAACGATGACGACGATGGTGCTTCCCCCAAAACCAATCGAACCTTGTCCTTCAACGTCATGTACCGATGATAATCAAACAGAAGCAGCAAATAATATAGTAACTGATTACCAGATAGAATATAATAGTTTTATCCCTTCAACATCAATTAACGAAGATGGCAATCGCCGTTCTTTTAGATTGACTTCAAAAAAGTTTACACCAAATGATGATGAAACTGAAATGGATATATGTTGTAATAATAAGAGTCAGGATAAAAATAAGGGTAAAAGTGGAAAACAAACAAGTAAAGGAATTCACACCAGAATACAACTTATCTTGTGGTCCAGTAGAAGATGACTTTAGTGATTGTTCTAGTCCTAGTGACGTTTATTTGAAAAGAATTATATTTATTTAAAACAGTCGTGGCTACTGTATCATCAGCAAAGAGAATCACACTTAATTAACTAAAAATAGATGTGGATCCAGCACTGAGTCCTGGGGGACGCCCTCTATATTTGGTAAACGGCTAGAATTTTGCCCCGAATTTAACATATTGTTTAATTTAATATGAGAAAGCAATTGCTTATTTAGGATAATTTCAAAGATTTTCCCAAAAATAGGCAAAATAGGTATTGGCCTAAAGTTAGAAGATTAATTTTGTGTATAGGAACAAGGAACATTTAGCTATTTTCAGGCAGTCGGGGAATAAGAATTCTTCAATATGGAACCCACTTCGCGTAATTCATTAAAATTCATTGGGTTAAACCCAAAGCTCGTCTAAAGAATCGTCTAAACTTCTAAACAGTTTTATTTGCGCTGTGGATATCAAATCCGGTCGTTGTTTATTTATGTGCAAAACATCCCTGGCTATCGAACCAGGAAACTTTTTCTCATTACTCACCTTGCAATTATTAACAAGAATGAACAAGAATGTCTTTATTGGTGTTAATTCGGTGATTTACTTTCGTATTCTTAACTAGGTTATGATAATGCACGATCTAGCTAGTCTAAATGGCTTCTATCATAAGCATCGGTGGTTCAATACATTTATTCGCTATATACAACTACTACGACATAATATAATTTATACATATCACAGATATTGACACGATGATGGTACTTCTCATTGTTCTTCTTCCTGCTTTCCGACGTGTTTCATTAAGATCCTGGCTGTTCCAGTCAATGCGCTGTAGACAGCTTTTTCCAACAGCGACCTTATTTGCATTTCTATTGCACCTATTTCGGCCAACAATGACCACAGCTTCTTTTGTGTGTCAGTTGACAGCACCTCGTCAAAAACCCCCATCGCCATGACCCCAAACTTTACTGGACAAGGGTTCATCTGACGTAGCTCATCTACCAGGTTTGCATCCCGCCCCACAGTGCTGTAATTTAAATGGTCGACATGAGTTACGGAATTTTTTGCATACCTTGTGATCTTCACGGCTTCCTGAGTTTCGTAGTTCTGGAGATGAGGTATCACCACTTCGAAGACGTAGATGGTTGTTTTGTCTTCTTTTTCGACCCTCACCAATATATCCGGCTTTTTGTGATGGATGGGTTGTGGAGTCAGAACCGGAATGCCACACGATATATATATTTTTTTGCCCTGAGTCGTATATTCGCAGTTCAAATTAGCTCTTCCAAATTTGAGTTGATTTTTGATAAGTACTGGCGCCTTCGTTGCTTCGATGATGGTTCTTATTAGCCAGTATGCCACGAAATCATGTCGCTCGGCGTAGTTATGTTTGCAGGCCGTTACTACATGGTAGGCTGTTTCTTCGTGGTTATGACATCTCCTGCAAATGCCTCCATTTTGTTTCGAAATTCCCCTCATTGCGAACCATTGTTCTTCTGCTGCGGCGTTGAGTAGACTCTGTTTATATTGACTGCCCGGGAAGGAAATTTTGTTATGATATTTCATTACTAGTTTAGTTTATGTTTCCTTTCTATCACTGTCACTCTGCTCATAGATCGCCTTGATTATTGTTTGAGGAGCTTTTCTTCTATCAGCTTCGTCGGTCGCCTCGATATCCGTTACTTTATATTTTTTCAGTATATGTTGGTAGTCGCTAATAGGGGTTCTGCATTTTCCACGATTAAGACACTTGTAGTATTCTCTTGTGACAACCAGTTCTTCGTTGTTTTGGAGATACCAGTATCTTCTTACGTAGTGAATTGCTGTTTCCAATTCAATGCTTTTATACCCCAATCCCCCGACTGATGTGGACATGTAGAGCCGTTGATTGGACGTCGATCTTGTTTTTATCTGCGCTTGCGTTGCTATTTTGCGTATCTCCTTGTCCAGGCTTTCACATCTCAATAAGGTAGTTGCGACGGATTCTTGCAATAATACGTTGCCAGTGACATTGACGGCCGCCGGAATGGTCGTGCTGTTGAAGATTGCTCTTTTCTGGAAACTGGACAACCGCGATTCCATGATGGTTTTCGCTTGTCGTAGGATCTTCTCTTCAAGTGCTTCGATGTTGACACTTTGATCTCTTTCAATCTGGAACAGGCCTAAGTGTTTGTAATTTGTGTCTACATATGGTAGATCCATGTCGTCTACATCTTCTGGTTTTAGGTTTCGGCCGTATACTGCACATTTTGCCACATTGAGAGAGAGCCCTAGCTCTTGGGCGGCTGTCCGCAGCTTCTCGGTGAATGCTGATGCTGCTTTCTGGTTTCCAGTATGTACTTTTATATCGTTCATATACGCTAGTTTGGAGATATTTTCATCAATTTAATCGCATCTATAACACTGTCAGTGATCAGATTGAATAGTAATGGATTCAGGCTATCGCCTTGGTATATTACCTTTTTTACCTCTATGACCTCTCCTAGTTTTTTCGGGCCTTGTATTCGGACATTCCATAACCCCGCGATGATTTTGAACATTTTCTTTATTGCTTGCGGCAGAGATAGCGCGGCTATAATTCTTCTCAGTACATGGTGGTTGATGGAATCGAAAGCTTTACGAAAATCGTACCATATTGAGATGTGGGGACGCCTTTGTCCATTAGAATTCCATGCAGAGTTCCCCATATTTTCGGTCTGCATAGTTGTTCTATGGGGATCACTTGCCTTATTGAATCCACCATTATAGACTCCTGTCAATCAGTGATGGGCGCTGGGTAAATACCCGGCGGGTAGGTATTTCTAAAATGGGTATTTACCTCGGCCCAGGGTAAATACCCAAACAGTGGGTATAAAAGTGATACCAGTAAAAATGTATCGATTCCAATAAAAATGAAGAGGAAGACGAGGAATTGTCAACAATCAAAGACGTATTATCATTAGACGAACCTGCCGTAATTTAGATTAGATCAAGTTATTATGATTATTATCACCAAGCAGCCCTCTGCGTCCATTGTTGGACATAGACCTTCCCTATTCTCTGCTGTTTGAATCCAATTGTTGGTCATTCTTTTGACGTCTACTTCGTCTGTTCGCTCGCGGTCTTCACTCAAGCAACAGCTCCAGTTCCACTTAAGCTTTGCCACAATGTTGACCACATCATTTACGCCAGTTCTTCTTCATAGGTCTTCATTTCGTATGTAGTCCCTCAGAGTTAGACCCAGGATCGACCTCTCCATCTATCTTTGCGCTACTTGGACCCTCCTGGCAGTGGTTACCGTTAATGTTAAAGTTTCGGAGCCTTATGTCATAACCGGAAACACGCATTGATTGAAAGCCTTTTCTCTTGAAGATGTCTCTAAGATCCTTCTGTTTAGTTCGCTTATTTGATTATCTCTCAATACACGAACCTCATAGCCAAGATATACATAGCTGTGAACCCTCTCAATCTCATTATCCCCAATGTTGATGTTAGAGCTGGGAACAAGATTTATCATAAATTTTGATTTCTCCTTGTTGATATTTAGCACGACTCTTGCACACACCTCCTTTAAGTCGTTCATCATTAGTTTAATCTCTCCAAGGCTATCTGATATAAGAACTATATCTTCCGCGATATGGTCCAATCCAGTTGTTTAAATGCACTCTGAGGACTGTGATGAACAATTTGAGTTCAACAGTGTTGTTTTACTCACAATCAGTACTTTACTATTTTTACTCTCTTCAGTACTTTCATGCAATTTTACCGTCATTGTAACATTCTTGTAGATGTTATAAATAAGTTTGGTATATCGATAAGCGACTCTGCGTTCTTGAAGTCCTTGCAAAACTGTCATCAACTCAATTTAAATTAAATTTATAAATACCTCAAAATACCCATCTTGGGTAAATACCCCTGGGTATAGATCCAGGATATTTATCCTTGAAAATAAATACCCGGGTATTTAACAACACTGCTGTCAATACTTTGTAGTCGTTGTACATCAAGGTAGAGTCCCAAATATTTAACAGGCATCGTGCAAGTCTCTAGACGTATTAAGGGAAAAATGTAAGCTTTGAGTTTTGACTTCGTTCATCCATTATATGATGCAATATATCTTTATTGGTGTTGATTTTGTGATTTATTTTCATTTTCTTAACTAGGTTATGATAATGCACGATCTAGCTAGTCTAAACGGCTTTTGTTATAAGCATCGGTGGTTCAATGGTAGAATGCTCGCCTGCCACGCGGGCGATCCGGGTTCGATTCCCGGCCGATGCACTTTTTTTTTCTCTTAAACATGATCAAACTTTCTATATAATATTAATTTTTTTATTTGTATCACAACAAAGTGCGTTAAAAGTTTAAAACATTTATTTTTTTTTAATTAATCTCATTTTTTAATTTAAGATAATAAAATCCGAAATGAAATCAGAATTGCAACACATAATTCAACGAACAACCCTTTTTATTAACGATTTCTTACAAAACAACGATACCAAGCAACAGAACACCCTTTTGGAATTTATGCACACTTTATTTGAACAATTTAAACAAGTCGGGCAAGCTCATAATTTGCTGTTAACTTATTTAAAACAAGCGGTGAGATTTTATAAAATTGAAGTGTGCCTATACGATATTAAAGCGTATTGGAATCAGGTTCAATTTGTTGTAAGTTGCAAATATTTTTCTTTGACTTATTTGTTACTATAATCAACAATTATTTTAGATTCAAACTTTACTCCAAGATTATTTAGATATGCAAAATATGTCGAGCGAGTCGCAAAGTACTCAAACATTTACAGATGATGATGATTTATCTGTTTACTTTTCAAGAAGGAAACAACCAATGTAAATTAAAAAATAAACATAAAATAAAATTAAGTTAAACATTTTTTTTTAGTAAAAAGGAAACTTTATTTAAATACTCCGATTCGTCGAGTGCATTAATAATGAGTAGCACGCTAAAAGATGAGGAATCAAAATTAAATAAAGTATTAGTTTGTAAAGCAAACATGGATAATTTGTTGTTTATGTACGTCCCATTGATGTATTTTATTGAGGAGATTGAAGAAGCGATGGAGTTGTCGCATGGGTAATTTTTAATTAATATAACAAAAAACATTCTTTATAAAATCATTTTAGTTCTGCATGTACTTTAAATCAATTCCTTTCCGGGTACACGAAAAATACATTTTTAAAGCGCAAAAACACCGAAATGCGTAACGATATCGAAATGGCGATTCAATCTAAAGACGCTTGGAAAGAAACCGTTCTTTTAGATGTTTCCACCGATTACAAGCCTCTATTAGTCGTGAGTCAATCAAAAAATTATTTCATAAATACATTAATAAACATATTCTTAATAGAGTACAGTTACAATCGAAAAAACATTAAAATGTTGGTTATCAATCCTTGATTCTTTACCAATGTATGGAGAATTAGTAGTAAAATACACCACGGAAGCTTTAAGGGAATACAAAGACACTTGTCAAGCTGCTTATAGCGGAATTGTGCAACCACACAGTGAAGATAAAAGGATTTGTAGCGCGGCGTGGTTAAAAGATGATGATATCAGCCGATTTTTGAAGTAACAAATTTATTTTTTTTTTAATTTAACTTAATTTGTTAAAATTATTAGATGTTTACCAAATTGGGTGAATTTAAAAGCCCAACAAGAAACTCACGCACGCCACGAACGCCGACGTTTAATGCGACGCGAAACGACAATCGAAGAAGAAAGTCCCGAAGACATCAAACAACGAAATCGAAAAGAAGCCGAAATTCTCGCCGGAAATCTCGGTGAAGGCGGCGTGGATTCTCGCGAAATCTTATCCGATATGTCGCTTTTAAAACAACTCGCTCAACTTCAAGAAAGTATGGAATGGTTTTCGGTGAAATTGTTCCAATTTGCGAGCCAATTTCGACACGAACCCAACACTTCTTCGCCGTCTGGGGCAAACGGAGGTTTTCAAAAAGAGATTATAAGCTCCGTTTCGTTGCAACAATTAACTCAAATCGCTCAAGATTTCGATGAATTGGCTAATACGTGTTTGTTACTTTTACATTTGGAAGTTAGGGTGCAATGTTTTCATTATTTATTGGCGGTTAATGATTTTAATAAGGAAACTCACGAACCTGACCCTAAAGTTTTAGAATTAAGTAAGGTTCTTTCAAATGTTGATGAAGCGATGACGTCGAGTTTACATCCCAGAAAGTGCAAGGTTGGCTAATTAATTTTATTGCGGGATTAAAATTAATAATGAATTTTTTAGTATATTTTTGAAGGTTTGGGTCATTTAATTGCAAAAATTTTAATTAGTTCAACACAAAATATGCAAGTTATTGATGATTTGGGTATTGAGAGAATGTGTAGGAACGTTTTTGCTTTACAACAAATGTTAACTAATATAACAATGACGAGGGAAGTTGCTTTGGATCATGCAAGACATTATTTTGAGTTGTTTTTCTTAACGCCTGAGGTTAATAATTTTGTTTAATATAATTATTTATTAACAAATATTTTTCGTTTAGGAAATTTTGAATGGAATCGTTGAAAAAGGACCGGAATTTTCCGAGTTAGAATACATGAATGCTTTTCAGTTATTAAATAGGAGTCGAAATGGATCGGTTGGACCTATCAATGTCCATTTGGAGAGGTTATCTGATATTTTACATGAGGTTGGTACTAAAATGATTAATTAAAAAATCTTTATTGTTATTTCATTATTTACATAATTTAATGATTTAATTTTAATTAAAATTGATGTTATTTTTTCTTAAACATTTAATCGTTCGTTTTCTTTAATGTTTAAAGAATTCCAAAATTCAGAATTTCCCAAAGTTCCATTCTCTTTCATTCCTATTATTTCAGGTGACTCGATATAGAGATATTTCAAATTTGATTCTAAATTTTTATCCATTGGGATCCAATCAACGTTGGCAATATTTGGGTTTCTAAAACGAATATATAATTATTTTATTCATTTAAGTCTTATTATAGGTTATTATTATGTTTTTGCTAACATTTTTTAGACATTACAAAGGTTCCTAATTTGACAAAATCAAATTGTAAGGTTTTGAATGATAGATGGCACACGTCTACTATCCGTGCAAAAAGTCAAGGCCCCTCACTTTAGAGATCGATATTTTCGTAACCGCTCGATGAAAAAAATTGCGGTAAAGTTCATTGTAATCAGTGAACATTTCTGCGTATCGCATGTTGATTTGGAAATTTTCGAGTCCGCGGTTCTTCTTTTATCGCGAGTTAAGCGAAAAAAGTACCCGATTTTTGAGAGTGCCAGCAACTTTGTCTACTTTGCGATTTTTTTTCTCCAAAACTATTTGACGAAACACTTTCAAATTTGAACTGGTGGTAAACAAATGTGTTCTTAATGTGGGGCATATTTTATTTTATTGATATTCCATATAGTTTTGCGAAAAATCGCGGTTTAGTAGGATGCGGTTATTTCGAAATCGACCTGGCGGATTTCAACGCGGTTTTTACCAAAATATGTCAAATAATGTCGGTTGTCGAATTCCGTTATCAGTTTTTCAAAATTAGTGCTTCCTATTTTTTTAAGAGCGATTTAATGGAATTATAAATTAAAGAGAAATAGAAATAAGCTATGCGGGGAGAGGAGAGTTCCGTCCAATCGGAACAGATGATGCGTCCCAGACAGTACGTCGCGCCTTTATCTTACCTACATAAAGAAATAAGGCGCGACGTCCTGTCTGGGACGCACCATCTGTTTCGATTGGACGGAACCCCCGTCACCCCGCAGAGGTTTTTGCACGGATAGTAGTGGTGGAACGGATATCCGGCAACTATCCGGTACCCGGTCATTTTTTTAAATCCGGTCGGTTACCGGATAGTTACCAAATATCCGGCCATTAAAAACCTATTACCCAGGAATTAATATCTCTTTTAAGTTTGGGACACTGCAGATAATAATCAAGTTCAACCCCAATAGGACTTTTTTCATTGAATACCGCTTTATTTATATCAGGTTTGTCTTTAGCAATCTCATTGTAACAATCCCAATACGATATATAAAATCTCTTGTTGCAGTTTCGTCTAGTTTTCTTCTCTTCGCTTGTAATTCATCATCACATTCATTACTAACAGAACTGTCGCTGTTATCACTTTCGATTATTAATTAAAGTATCCTTTTTTTAATGCAAAAAGCAGTTTTGAAAAATCCATTTCTTGGAATATGAGTATGAAAATTACCCAAAGTGTTAATAAAAGTGTCTTCATTCCAATAAACCAACCCGTTTTGAAAAATTACTTTTAGTTTTTGAGAAAACAATATTTGAAGTTTTGATAAAATTTTTGTTGTCGCAATTTTCATCGATAACTTTCAAAATTCGCTATAAAATTCATTTCTTGAAGGATCCTTGTGGAAATATCGCCAATTGTTATTTAAAGTATCCTCTTTTTAAAGCAACAAGCCGTTTTGAAAAATCGTTTTTATTTTTTGAGAAAAAAATTTTTGAAGTGATCGACAGTTTTTTCGAATTTTGTAATTTTCGCCGATTAAGTTTTAAAAATTCGTATAAAATCCATTTCTTGGAATATCAGTATGAAAATCTCCCAAAGTGTTAATAAAAGTGTCCTCTTTCCAATGAACCAACCAGTTTTGAGAAATAACTTTTAGTTTTTCAGAAAACAATATTTGAAGTTTTGATAAAATTTTCGATATTGCAATTTTCATTGAACATTCAAAATTCGCTATAAAATTTATTTCTTGAAGGATCCTTGTGGAAATATAGCCAATTATTAATTAAAGTATCCTCTTTTTAATGCAACAAGCCGTTTTGAAAAATCGCTTTTAGTTTTTGAGAAATAAATTTTTGAAATGATCGACAATTTTTTCGAATTTTGCAATTTTCGCCGATTAAGTTTTAAAAATTCGTATAAAATCCATTTCTTGGAATATGAGTTTGAAAATTTCCCAAAGTGTTAATAAGAGTGTTCTCTTTCCATTGAACCAACACGATTTCAAAAATAACTTTTAGTTTTTGAGAAAACAACATTTGAAGTTTTGATAACATTTTCGTTGTTGCAATTTTCATCGATAACTTTCAAAATTCGCTATAAAATTTATTTCTTGAAGGATCCTTGTGGAAATATCAACAATTATTAATTAAAGTATCGTCTTTTTAATGCAATAAGTCGTTTTGAAAAATCGCTTTTAGTTATTGAGAAAAAATTTTTTTAAATGAGCGACAATTTTCTCGAATTTTGCTATTTTCGCTGATTAAGTTTTAAAAATTCGTATTAAATCCATTTCTTGGAATATGAGTTTGAAACTTTCCCAAAGTGTTAATAAAAGTGTCCTCTTTCCAATGAATCAACCGGTTTTGAGAAATAACTTTTAGTTTTTCAGAAAACAATATTTGAAGTTTTGATAAAATTTTCGATATTGCAATTTTCATTGATAACATTCAAAATTCGCTATAAAATTTATTTCTTGAAGGATCCTTGTGGAAATATCAACAATTATTAATTGAAGTATCCTCTTTTTAATGCAATAAGCCGTTTTGAAGTGATCGACGGTTTTTTCGAATTTTGCAATTTTCGCCGATTAAGTTTTAAAAATTCGTATAAAATCCATTTCTTGGAATATGAGTGAAAATTTCTCAAAGTGTTAATAAAAGTGTCCTCTTTCCAATGAACCAACCCGTTTTGAAAAATAACTTTTAGTTTTTGAGAAAACAATATTTGAAGTTTTGATAAAATTTTCGATGTTGCAATTTTCATCGATAATTTTCAAAATTCGCTATAAAATTAATTTCTTGAAGGATCCTTGTGGAAATATCACCAATTATTAATTAAAGTATCCTCTTTTTAAAGCAACAAGCCGTTTTGAAAAATCGCTTTTAGTTTTTGAGAAATAAATTTTTGAAATGATCGGCAATTTTATCGAATTTTGCAATTTTCGCCGATTAACTTTTAAAAATTCGTATAAAATCCATTTCTTGGAATGTGAGTTTAAAAATTTCCCAAAGTGGTAATAAAAGTGTCCTCTTTCCAATGAACCAACCGGTTTTGAGAAATAACTTTTAGTTTTTCTGAACATAATATTTGAAGTTTTGATAAAATTTTCGATATTGCAATTTTCATTGATAACATTCAAAATTCGCTATAAAATTTATTTCTTGGAATATGAGTTTGAAAATTTCCCAAAGTGTTAATAAGAGTGTTCTCTTTCCATTGAACCAACACGATTTCAAAAATAACTTTTAGTTTTTGAGAAAACAACATTTAAAGTTTTGATAAAATTTTCGTTGTTGCAATTTTCATCGATAACTTTCAAAATTCGCTATAAAATTTATTTCTTGAAGGATCTTTGTGGAAATATCAACAATTATTAATTAAAGTATCCTCTTTTTAATGCAATAAGTCGTTTTGAAAAATCGCTTTTAGTTATTGAGAAAAAATTTTTTTAAATGAGCGACAATTTTCTCGAATTTTGCTATTTTCGCTGATTAAGTTTTAAAAATTCGTATTAAATCCATTTCTTGGAATATGAGTTTGAAACTTTCCCAAAGTGTTAATAAAAGTGTCCTCTTTCCAATGAATCAATCGGTTTTGAGAAATAACTTTTAGTTTTTCAGAAAACAATATTTGAAGTTTTGATAAAATTTTCGATATTGCAATTTTCGTTGATAACATTCAAAATTCGCTATAAAATTTATTTCTTGAAGGATCCTTGTGGAAATATCACCAATTATTCATTAATGTATCATCTTTTTAATACAAAAAGCCGTTTTGAAAAATCACTTTCAGTTCTTGAGCAATAAAATTTAAAATTATCGACAATTTTTTCAAATTTTGCAATTTTCGCCAATTAAGTTTTAAAAATTCGTATAAAATCCATTTCTTGGAATATGAGTTTGAAAATTTTCTAAAGTGTTAATAAGAGTGTTCTCTTTCCATTGAACCAACACGATTTCAAAAATAACTTTTAGTTTTTGAGAAAATAACATTTGAAGTTTTGATAAAATTTTCGTTGTTGCAATTTTCATCGATAACTTTCAAAATTCGCTATAAAATTCATTTCTTAAAGGATCCTTGTGGAAATATCGCCAATTATTATTTAAAGTATCCTCTTTTTAAAGCAACAAGCCGTTTTGAAAAATCGCTTTTTGTTTTGGAGAAATAAATTTTTGAAATGATCGGAAATTTTTTCGAATTTTGCAATTTTTGCCGATTAAGTTTTAAAAATTCGTATAAAATCCATTTCTTGGAATATGAATATGAAAATTTCCCAAAGTGTTAATAAAAGTGTCCTCTTTCCAATGAACCAACCGGTTTTGAGAAATAACTTTTAGTTTTTCTGAACATAATATTTGAAGTTTTGATAAAATTTTCGATATTGCAATTTTCATTGATAACATTCAAAATTCGCTATATTTCTTGAAGGATCCTTGTGGAAATATCAACAATTATTAATTGAAGTATCCTCTTTTTAATGCAATAAGCCGTTTTGAAGTGATCGACGGTTTTTTCGAATTTTGCAATTTTCGCCGATTAAGTTTTAAAAATTCGTATAAAATCCATTTCTTGGAATATGAGTGAAAATTTCTCAAAGTGTTAATAAAAGTGTCCTCTTTCCAATGAACGAACCCGTTTTGAGAAATAACTTTTAGTTTTTCAGAAAACAATATTTGAAGTTTTGATAAAATTTTGGTTGTCGGAATTTTCATCGATAACGTTCAAAATTCGCTATAAAATTCATTTCTTGAAGGATCCTTGTGGAAATATCGCCAATTATTATTTAAAGTATCCTCTTTTTAAAGCAACAAGCCGTTTTGAAAAATCGCTTTTAGTTTTGGAGAAATAAATTTTTGAAATGATCGGAAATTGATCGAAAAATTTTTCGAATTTTGCAAGTTTCGCCGATTAAGTTTTAAAAATTCGTATAAAATCCATTTCTTGGAATGTGAGTTTGAAAATTTCCCAAAGTGTTAATAAAAGTGTCCTTTTTCCAATGAACCAACACGTTTTGAAAAATTACTTCTAGTTTTTGAGAAAACAATATTTGAAGTTTTGATAAAATTTTCGATGCCGCAATTTTCGCCGATTAAGTTTTAAAAATTCGTATAAAATCCATTTCTTGGAATGTGAGTTTGAAAATGTCCCAAAGTGTTAATAAAAGTGTCCTTTTTCCAATGAACCAACGCGTTTTGAAAAATTACTTTTAGTTTTTGAGAAAACAATATTTGAAGTTTTGATACAATTTTTGTTGTTGCAATTTTCATCGATAACTTTCAAAATTCGCTATAAAATTCATTTCTTGAAGGATCCCTGTGGAAATATCACCAATTATTAATTAATGTATCCTTTTTTTAATGCAATAAGCCGTTTTGAAAAATCACTTTCAGTTTTTGAGAAATAAATTTTTGAAGTGATCGACAGTTTTTTCGAATTTTTCAATTTTCGCCGATTAAGTTTTAAAAATTCGTATAAAATCCATTTCTTGGAATATGAGTTTGAAAATTTCCCAAAGTGTTAATAAAAGCGTCCTCTTTCCAATGAACCAACACCTTTTGAAAAATAACTTTCAGTTTTTGAGAAAACAATATTTGAAGTTTTGATAAATCTAATATCGCCAATTAATTATTAATTAAAGTATCCTCTTTTTACTTATCTTGTGGCAATATAGGGTATCATTTCAGAAATGCACCAGAAATTATAACCATAATGGCTGGATAGATATGGTGGATAACCGGATATCCGGCTGAAGGGGATGCCGAATATCCGGTATCCGGCTTTTCGCAAAATCATTATCCGTTCCATCACTAGTCACGTCTATAGGGTTTAACTTTTTTTTAAATTTCTCTAGAGTCTAGAAGATTTGTGTAAAGTTTGGTTCGGATCTTCGACGGAATAAGGGTGGTAGGGGTAATTAAAATCTACTAGTGGGTAGTTCACCCCCGCGGTCCCCATGCAAGTGGAATTTCTGTCGATAAATATATTTCTTATTATGCCTAGAAGGCGTATATAAAGTTTGGTTCGGATCTTCGAACCAATAAGGGAGCTGGAGCCAGTTATTTTAATTAAAATTGCTGATTGTACCTTGATGTTAGTGATAAATACATTTTCATTTTGTCTAATTACTTTTAATATACTGTAATTAACTTCTTAAGTTGATAATGTAATGTTTTTTTGTTCTAAAAAATTGAGTCCGCGTGTGGACGTCTATGGGCGTTCGGGTATTATCGGAAATTGTTACTGCTATCTTTTACTGCTGCCTTCACACCGGTTTACCTTCTTACATCTCTTTCTAATGTTATCGTTAAAACTCTTCTCTACAACTTTCTATGATAATGCCGAGACTCAGCAAATGTGATGATCAGTTTCGAATTGATATAAATATTAATTACTGAGCCTCGGCCGAAAAATGATCTTTAAAACAACTTTAAATAAATAAATACGAATTTTATTAATATTCTCAACAAAAACACATGTTAGAAGGATAAATTGATAATAAATATAATATAAATAGCTCTAAAATATATTAAATACTTATTATTTGTATATTTATTAACGATTTCTTTGAGTTTGTTGACCATTTCCTGAACAATTTTGTTCATCCGAAAATTGAATAACATGACTGTTACCACTTTGTCGATAATGCTGCCCTTCACTTTTCATAATCATATTCTTCTTGCGGTAATATAAAGCAAAACCCACAATAATCGAAATCACCAAAACAACAAGAACCACCCCTAATATAATGAAACCCGTATTATCTTTATGATAATGATGCTCCTCCGGTAAATAATCGGTTGTGTTAACATTAACACCTCTTAAAGTTGAATTAACAACATCGATCAAATTGGTCGTAGTTTCTCCCTTAAAATCGGTAATTTCCGTCAATATATTTGTCGAAGTAGACGAGGTTAAGTTGGTTATGGTCGCTTCAGTAGAGGTGGAGTTATTCACGAAAACTTCGTTTATAAGCGAAGTTAAATTTGTGTTGGTTGCGTTGGTTGATGTCATGATGGCGTTGGAAGCTGTGGTGATTTCTTGAGTTGCGTTTTGGGAGGTAATTTCCAAAATTGATTGTAATGTTGATGTTGTTGGAGTTGATTTTATTACGTGTTGATCATCGGGAAATTTTATTGGATATTGATCCAATGGGTTCTAAAAAATAATTTCATAAACTAAAAGAAAAAGAAATTAACGTTTTTTACTTACTGTTTTATAAAAATCCTCCACAACACGATCAAACGCACTTTGAGGGATAACAAATTGATCTTGCGACATTTTTAATAACACGATTTAATTCAAGTTGTTAAAACTTCGAATGAATGATTTAGAATGAATGAAGAACGAGGAGTTTGTGGTATTTATACTAAAATAAAAGTAAAACCGAGTTCATAATTCCAGGCAATTTATCGGGAATTTAAGGAAACCCGGGATTTTAAGTTATTCGGTGATTACAACTTCCTTTTTAACCTAAATTGACGTCACAATGAGTAATTCTTAGAAATTATTGTAAAAACCCGAATTAGAACGATTAATAAATAAATAAATAAATAGGTTATCGGGTATTTTTAACCACAACGTTGTCTTCATCGTACATTTTTTCTTTTGTATATTCATTATCTTTGTATTTAGTCATCATTGGGAATGATGAAAAACAAAGTCGCGGTAAAAACTTATTATTACTTATTAATAATTTATTGTTGACGTAGTTGTTTAAAAATCTTACACAGCTCGACGACCCATTCGTGACGTCATGCATGAGTAACAACTACTATTTCGTACTTTGTATTAGCAAATGTTTAATTTATTCTAGTCGTGTTTTGTAGAGTTTGTTTCAGGCTTAATAAGGTTCATAATAAAAAAGTCTAGTGTTAGTTCTACTGTCTAATCATTCGGGTTTAGCAGTGTTATCACACGTAGGGCTCTTCTTCCGTGTTTAGCCGTACGTCTCATAAGACGGCTAAACCCGAATGATTCTAGTTCTAGTTCTAGTATTAGTTTTAGTTATAGTGGTAGTGCAAAACTAGAATTAACACTAGACGTAAAACTAGAATCATTGAGGTTTAGCCGCACGTCTCTCAAGACGGCTAAAACCGTATGTTTCTAGTTCTAGAGTTTGTTCTAGTGACAGTACTAATGCAACACTAGAACTAACACTAGACCTAGAACTAGAATCATTCGGGTTTAGCCGCACGACTCTCAAGACGGCTAAACCCGAATGTTTCTAGTTCTAGAGTTTGTTCTAGTGACAGTACTAATGCAAAACTAGAACTAACACTAGACCTAGAACTAGAATCATTCAGGTTTGTTCTAGTGACAGTACTAATGCAACACTAGAACTAACATTAGACCTAGAACTAGAATCATTCGGGTTTAGCCGCACGTCTCTCAAGACGGCTAAACCCGAATGTTTCTAGTTCTAGTGTTTGTTCTAGTGACAGTACTAATACAACAGTAGAACTAACACTAGACCTAGAACTAGAATCGTTCGGGTTTGTTCTAGTGACAGTACTAATGCAACACTAGAACTAACACTAGACCTAGAACTAGAATCATTCGGGTTTAGCCGTCTTGAGAGACGTGCGGCTAAACCCGAATGATTCTAGTTCTTGGCCTAGTGTTAGTTCTAGTGATAATGTTTGCTCTAGTTTTAGATGTTATTCAACATTGTATTGTTGTATTGAATTGTTATTCAGCACTAACTTATTATATGTGTTTATTGAACTAAAACTAGAACTAACACTAGACTTAGAATTAGAAACATTTGGGCTTAGCCGTCTTGAGAGACGTTCTGTTAAACCCGAACGTTTCTAGTTTTAAGTCTAGTATTAATCCTAGCACTTAATATACATATTAAGCTTAATAAAATACATATATTTAGCGCTAAATAACAATTAAAGCACGTGGTGTAACGTATTGACCCGATACTGACGTCATTTTCTTGATTAAAAAAGAACAAAGGACTTACCCAATATTAGCAAAGTTAAGCCACATATCTAGAAATAATTGAGACATTTTCTCATCCATTTCGTTACTTCTCATGTCAAGGTTGCTATATAAAACATAAACCGTGTCATCAGCATGGGAAACCCCTAAAATTTAAGATTGAAATTGATAAAAAATTAATTTTTTAAAGTTACCAAAGTTAAAATTAGGTCCAGTTCGAAGCTCCGATTTACTTTTAGCCCCTCTATAATTAAAAATATAATAATATACCGACGAATTTGAATTTTTTGAGTGCAATTTAACCGATTTTTCGATATCAACAATAAATAAGCGATCCGATATCATCTAAAAAAATAAATTATTAATTATTTAGATGTATTTAATTAGATTTGCTTACTTTAATTAGTAATGAAAATGTTTCTTCACTCAATTTTTTCTCCCCTAAATAAAAATTTCGAATTTTTTGAGTTACCCCATCTAAGTCATTTGCATCCGCGGTATCTTTATATTCCAAGATATAGGGTAACAATAAATTTAAATTTTCACCGAGATGTTTTAAAGAGTGGTTTCTTAAAAAATCTGCTCCCGGATAAAGCCCTTCAGCTCCAACTTGAGAAAAAATTAATGGTAAATCCTCAATTTGTCCGTTTTTTAATAAAGTATAAGGGTGGTCGCTTAAAACGGGAGTTTTCGACCATAAACCATCGATAACAACACCAAAAGGTGAAATTGGGTTATATAAAAATTTCTTTTAATAATAAAAAAATTATCAAATTACTAAAAATTACATCTTACTTGGAAATGTTTCACAGCTTGAACAATTTGATAAGAATTCCTCGATTTTAAACATTGAATCAATTCGAAACTTTTTGAAGTAGAACATCCTAAAATTTCACCTAATTTAAAAGCTTTTTGCTTCGAGTTTTCTGCTAAAACCCAAGGGTTTAAAGCTGTGCCACTTTGAGCTATCCCGCGATTAAATAAACCCTTGGAAAGTTGACTCATGTAGTGTAAATGAACGCTTGCACCTCCGGCTGACATTCCGGTTAATGTTATCGAGTTTGAATTTCCATTAAAAAATTTTATGTTGGACTTAATCCACTTTAATGCTAAAATTTGATCTTTTATTCCTAAATTTCCGGGTTGAACTTCGTCCTGCGTTGAAAGGAAACCTTCAAAACAAATTAGTATTCATTAAAATTTTATTATCTTAATAAAAATTGATTACCTAAAGGTCCTAATCTGTAATTTAAGCTAACATAAATGATATTTTCACGTTCTAAAATGTATTTAGGTCCGTATGTTCCACCGGAATTGAACATAAACGCACCGCCGTGAATAAAAACTATAACGTTATAAAGATCTTTTTTCGTGACATTTAAATCGATGGGAGTGTAAACATTTAAATATAAACAATCTTCGTCACCAATAACTGGATAATTTTCAGTGTCTGGTGAATGATATAATTGGAGGCAAGTGTATAAATTATTAGCAACCCAAGTTCCATTCCAAGACTTTTTCGGGATTGGCTCCTAAAATAAATTGTAAATTAAAATATGTTGTTTAAGACTCTTACACAGCTCGACGACCCGTTCGTGACGTCACGCATGAGTAACAACTACTATTTCACCCTTTGTATTAACAAATGTTTAATTTATTCTATTCGAGTTTTGTAGTGTCATAATATAAACGCCTAGTGTTAGTTCTACTGTCTAATCATTCAGCTTCTTCTAGTTCTAGGTTTAGTGTTAGTTCTAGTGACAGTGCTAGTGCAAAACTAGAACTAACACTAGACCTAGAATCATTCGGGTTTAGCCGTCTTGAGAGACGTGGAGCTAAACCCGAATGTTAGCATATCATAATTCTTAAAAATACCATCGATATTACTTTTTGAAAATCTTGTATTTTTGATTCATAAATTTGACAGTTTCTTCTTTAATAATTATTTCTTGGAAATTTCAATATTATCTTATAGTTTTTATGTCATATCATAAACTAGAGTATGTAAGTTACAATTTAACATACGTATTATATCATGATTCTTAAGAATACAGATGATATGATTTTTTTAAAATTTCGTATTCTTTATGATTTATAAATTTGACAATTCCTTCTTTAACAATGTATTACTGGAAATTTCATTAATATTATCTCATAGTTTTCATATCATTTCATAAACTACAATGTTTGACCTTCAATTGAACATACATATCATATCGTAATTTTCAAAGATATAGAAAATATGATTTTTTGAAAATGTCGTATTATTTTTGATTTATAATTGACAATTTCTTCTTTAATAATTTTTTCCTGGATATTTTAATAATGTTACCTAATATTTTTCATGTAATATCGTAAACTAGAAGCTTTAAGCTTCTGTTTAACATATATATCATATCATGATTCTTAAAAATACAGATGATATGATTTTTTGAATATTTCGTATTCTTTATGATTTATAAATTTGACTATTTATTCCCGGAAATTTCATTAATATTATCTCATAGTTTTTATATCATATCATAAACTACAATCTTTAAGCTTCAATTTGACATACATATCATATCATGATTCTTAAAAATTCAGATGATATGATTTTTTGAAAATTTCGTCTTTAACAATTTATTTCTGGAAATTTCATTAATATTATCTAACAGTTTTTATATCATATCATAAACTAGAATCTTTAAGCTTTAATTTAACATACATATCATATCATTATTCTTAAAAATACAGTAGATATGAATTTTGAAAATTTCGTATAATTATGGATTTATAATTAACAATTTCTTCTTTAATAATTCTTTTCTGGATATTTTAATAATATTAGCTAATAGTTTTAATATGACATCATAAACTAGAAGCTTTAAGCTGCAATTTAACATACATATCATATCATGATTCTTAAAAATACAGATGAAATAATTTTTTGAAAATTGTGTATTGTTTTTGATTTATAAAATTGACAATTTCGTCTTTAACAATTTATTTCTGGAAATTTCATTAATATTATCTAATAGCTTTTATATCATATTATAAACTAGAATCTTTGAGCTTCAAATTAACATAGATATCATATCATGATTCTTAAAAAGACAGTAGATATTATTTTTTTGAAAATTGTGATAATTTTGGATTTATAAATAACAATTTCTTCTTTAATAATTGTTTTCTGGATATTTCAATAATATTACCTAATACTTTTAATATGACATCATAAACTAGAAGCTTTAAGCTTCAATTTAACATACATATCATATCCTGATTCTTAACAATACAGATAATATGATTTTTTGAAAATTTTGTATTCTTTTTGATTTATAAAATTGACATTTCATCTTTAACAATTTATTTTTGGAAATTTCATCAATGTTATCTAATAGTTTTTATATCATATCATAAACTAGAATCTTTGAGCTTCCAATTAACATACATATCATATCATGATTCTTAAAAATACAGATGATATGATTTTTTGAAAATTTTGTATTCTTTTTGATTTATAAAATTGACAATTTCATCTTTAACAATTTATTTCTGGAAATTTTAATTTTATTACTTAATAGTTTTCATATATCATAAACTAGAAGCTTTAAGCTAGTCGAAGTTGATATTGTAGTCCATTTTTTAACCAGTTTTTTAATTTTAGAGGTAACAAAAACTAAACTTTTACTAACCAGTAAAAGTGCAACCCTTATAAAAAAAATTTTGTTACCTCTAAGAAGAAGCTTTAAACTTCAATTTAACATATATATATATCATATTATGATTCTTAAAAATTCAGATGATATGATTTTTTGAAATTTTCGCATTCATAAAATTACCTCAAATCTATTTTCCCCAATTGGAGGCTCAGCATATGGGATACCTTCAAATGCATAAAAATCCTTCCCAGTGATCGTTTGAGTTTTATAACCCTCAATTTTTCCGTTATTACTGTTAACTATTGGTTTAAAAGAATTTAAATTAATTTTGAAATAAGGAGACTAAAATATTATTTACCTATTTTTGTAGATACACCAATAAAGAAGACAATAATTAGTTGGAATAACACGAAAAACATTTTGGAATTTTTTAAAGTTAATTGTGATTTAATTCTGAACATTTCTTGATTATTTACATTTCAAGAATGGTTCTAATTTTAAATCTTTTAAACTCATTGATTCGGAAAGGTTAAATTTTTGATAACCTTAAAAACAGGGCGAGGACGAAACAGAAATTATTAATTTAATCACAGATGTTAAATATTTGATACGGTTTTAACGTTTCATTTTCTTCTGCTACAATCGACTTGCAGTCGGTTTTGCAAATAGTACCTGGAGTCTTGTAATTAAGTAGTGGATTTCTTCTTTAGGTATTGTGACCCACGTAATATACAATATGTGCGTAGAGCTTGTGGCGTGTGCGGAGCTTCTTGTAATATGAGAATGGACATTATCCTGCTGGAAATGTGGGTCATCCAATAGGGCCGTTAAGGTTAATCGATTAGAAAGACCGTCTTTCAAAAAATCGATAATCCACGACGTTATGTTCTCTCCCGTCTTCCTCTGTTTTCTTCTAGCGCATAATTTTATCGATTTTTATACGTTTCAATCGTACGCTCAAATCTGAGTGACGTACTTTGGAGTTCGCACCCTGTAGTTTCCAATTTTATTATTTTTTTTTTGAAAAATTAAGCCCCAGAATCAAAAATTAAAAAATATAGGGTCAATCAATTTTAAAAAACTTTCGAATAAGCCAATAAAAAAAATAGTTGCTGAATTGCTGAAGAAATAGAAGTATATACAGGGTGTCTCAACTGTAACTGGTTCGTTAGAACATTTTTAGACCTATTAGTTTGCTTCCTACCATGGATAAACTTTTTGAGAAACTGAAAGTCAAATTGATTCAAATTGATTACTCAACAGTACATCAACTCACAAGAGTGACGGAAATAACAAAGTGAGGATATGAAAATAAAGAGTATACAACAGCTGCTTTTCTTGACATAACAAAAACCTTTGATTCAGTATGGCTATATGGTTTAAAATATAAGATTCTTAAAACTAACATACCTGAACAACTCAAACCCCTAATTTTCTCATTTTTTGGTTAATAGAAAATGTTACGTCAGAATTAATGGTTATAACTCCGAACCAAAACCCATCAAGGTTGGAACTCCAGCCAAGGTAGCACCCTCTCACCACTACTATTTAATATCTGTTTACATGACATTCCGATTAATAAAGAAATCTAGAAATCTTATGTTATAATCGCCCAAACTGAAAATCTAGAAAAATCCATTTAAGATCTCCAAAAGTCGGTTAATGAGATATACATATAAATGGTTATTGATTTTCACTTAAATCCAAGTAAATGTGAGGCCAAAATATTTACCCTTAGACAAGTTAAAAATCCTACAACAATAATAATCGAAGATCACCCTGTTTGCTCGAAAACGATTCGAAAACAAAATGAAAGGTACTGATTCAAAAAAAGAAGATATTAAAAGGAAAAGATCATGAAATTATTATAAAAATAATTTCTTACTTTATTGTCCCTATCGCTTTAATGTGAAGCAACGTAGTTTGTAGGATCACATGGGAGACTTGCGGTGACGAGCAGCATTCAGATTGCAATTGGTAACTTCAACAGGAACTGAAGATAATTGTGGAGGTTTTAGATGTAGTAAAGAATGATGAGGTTGTTGACAATGCTTGATGACAACATTTATTAGTTGAATGTTTTGAATTTAAACAATTTCGACATAAATTATTTTCTCTAGCATAATTAAGACTTTCAAGAGGTTTTTTGGAATGAAATCAGGTTGTGGTTGGTGCATCGATAAATCGGGTGTGCTTCTGAACACAATGGACATTTAGTATTCAGTGGTGATTGTTCAACTTTCAGATTGACAGAAGATTTTGTTGGATAATGAACAGAAGCGTTATTATAATTACGGGAAGTGGTTTCACATGTAGTGAGTTGTACTGCATCCAACGCCTTTGCTTGGTTTTCCAGGAAATCAATCAGTTGTTGATATGTAGGAATTTCGTGTGAGCTATGCTCAGTCTCGAATTTAGTTTTGGTAGATTTATTAAGTTTTTGTAAAAGAATGTTAAATAACAGAAAATTCTAATGATCCACAGGGAAGCCAAGACTTCTGAATCCTTCGACATTTTCTTTAAAAGTATCGACAAGTAAACAAACTGCTTTTGGAGATGATTCGGATAACGATTTTGTGTGTTGTATTTCGTTGTAATACATAGTAGCGAGATGTCGGCGATTCTGATATCTGCCCTTTAAGGTGGTATAAGCAATGGTGTAATTGTCTTCCGTCACTGGCAAGCTTTTTATTAAGTTCAAAGCTTCATATTTCAACGAAGTCAGGAGGTATTGATATTTTGCTACTTTGGATAGTAGCAAAAAGTTTGGTTCTAAATAGATCAAAGAATCTAGGCCTGGCTTTATGATTCCCATCAAAAACAGGTATCGTTCATTTATTTAATTTGGGTGTTGCAGACGGCAACGAAGAATGAGGTGTTGGAGGTGTTAGAGGTGGTGGTGGCTGAAGCTTATGAAGATGCGCTTTTATAGTATAGAAAGCTGTATCTGCTGTAGTTTGAACATCATCATGAGCTTCGTCGATCATACCAATTATCTGATTGTGCACAGTCTTAAATTCTTCGTATGTCTTTTCTGCATCCTTAGCTCGTTCTTTGAACATGAGATGTTGTATAGGATCGTTAGGAAGATTTTGTGCAAGATTCATAGATTCTGTGAGATGATTTAAAGTACGGTGTAAAGTGAGTTTGACGAGTTTTTCCGTTATGATGAAAGAAAACGATAATTATATAGGTGTTGTAACTTCTGAAGGCCAAAAGCACAATTGCAATAATAATCCCAATAATTATTTTTAGGGAATATAAAGATAATAAACCCCAAGGGGTTAAAGAAATAAATTCTAAAAGTAACGATTCCACGTGGTAGATAATCTTCAACTGGGTATAAAGAAGAAATAATAATTCCAATGACTAGAAAACAACTAAAAGATACTTACAAGACCTCCAAAAGTGTCCAAATGTACAAGAACATCAATTGGGAGATATTGGAATCCATAGTCGACTAAAACGGAGACTTCCACAAGACATATTTATCGAAAAAGACTTAATAGATAGCGAATAGATTCGGGATGACATTGTTAATTCCCCGCTATTATTGTATAATTAATTTGAATTGTTATCAAAGCCATGAAATAACATTTAATGTTGAACTGGTTGACGCTGTTATTAACCCAGATATGCCTAAATTAAAACCACTTTACAAATCATAATAACTTTATTGAAAACTTATTTAAAGAAGCAAAACAAAGTCTTACAAACAAACCATGACAATTTGTTTTTTTTAAATTGGGAAATTCGGGCCGTCCTACATGTAGGACATTCGGCACATGAATATCTATAAACGTAAAATTATTTATTAGTGTGATACTGAACAAAACACTTCGTGTGTACACCAATGTCACATTTTGCGCATCTCGTTGTAGTTTTTTGATGGCAATGAGCACACCTAGTTTGTTTTTCTTGGGGCATAACTAAATGATCTATTCGGTCGAACCGTATATCTATTTCGTGGGACCTACTGGTATGTCCTTTTTGATATGACGATGTTTTTTTATTCTGAACCAACAGCATTACAGCAATTCTCCTTCTAAAACTAAGTTGATCTAATTTTCATAATCATAACTTCCTCTGCGCTGCTTCTTTATGAGTTTTGAATCTATAAGAGAAATGTCTTTTGGCTTGTTTTCTCTAACCGTACCAGTAGCATAAAAATTCCAGTCAGTTAGTTTTTCGATCAACGGAATTGACGTAAAAAAGTTAGCAAAAAAGAGATGAAATTTTTTATCTGGCCATTCCTTACGTAAAGCTTGCGCATATTCTAAGACTACTCCAGCACCAACTCCCAATTCAGAAAAGTTTTCACTTATATTTGTAGAGGCTCCTTGATAAGGTTCGAACCAATTCAAGTAACCTAACCTGGTACTTCCTACCCATAACTTATATCCATAGCGCATGAGTTTTCCTCGAATATACTGCTTACAGCTATGACGTCCATAATACGGAACCATAAACTGAGTGCATTCTTCAAGCGAGGAATTCTCTATAAATTTTTTATTCAGCAGTGTGAAAAGCGGCCTTCGTTTAGCGAATTTGTCACCCTGGTCCAACTGCTGATTATCACAGACGTGAAGATTAGAAAACAAATACTCAAACCAGTCCCTTGTAATTGCTTCTGTAATCATGACGTTATGGCAATCTTTTTCACGTTCCCAGAACATCCTCCGTCTCGGTACTTGCATATATCCACTTAGTATCAAAACGCCTATAAAAGCGTTTACTTCCTCTTTTCTATATTCGCTTTTCTATTTTTTTGTTGTGCGTACTTATTACTCCGATTCAAAATCAATTCTATTACTTCTTCGTCAAAAAAGAGAGAGAGAAAAGCTCTAAGGGGTGTTCTATGATCGCCGAATTCGTAGGACTATCAAAGTCGGTGGGCGGTAATTTCAAATCTTCTTTTATCCAACTGTGGTGCATTTGTCTCTTTTTAGTTTTTACTTTTTGTTTGTTTCTTGCTGCCGTGTTTTGTGATTGTAACTCTGATAGAGGTATATTGTCATCTGATGAAAAATCACTGTCGTAGTTACTTTCAATTACGATTTCCACCGGCGCTTATAACTGTGATGCCGGTAGGTTATTCACTGTAAGATCATTTTCTGCTCCAGAATCTTCATCTGTCAGGTCGGCTGCAGCGTTTACAAGAGGAAATATAGTTATTTCATCAGCCTGGCTGACAATGCCGTCATTGTCCTCAAGCATAGCAAGGGCTACATGAAGCGAAAACCCCCTGTAATTAGATGAACGTGATAGTCGTTTATTATCCTAATGTCCTATATACAGGGTGTCTCAGCGAGACCGGTCATTAGACGTTTCTGGGGTTCTGGCCAAACAAAAAATTTGAGAATGCAGACTTAAGTATTATCAATTACGTTCTCTTCATCTAAAATATTTTCAGATTTCTAGCACTTCCGGTTATACCGGAAGTCGCCACCTACTTTATTTTTTTAAATGGGACACCCTGTATACTTT